AAATTGGAAAGGAAAGGAAAGCAAGGTAAATCTTTGGGAACGCTGAAATTAAGGCCTTAACCTTCAATAGGGTCGGATGTGGTACGATGGCGAGAAAGGGCGGTCAAAGAAGACAAAATAGCGTCGTTTGAGAGAGCACGCTGATCTCTCATCAATGCACGCTGATCTCACCACCTCTCGCGGTGGGTGGGATGCGTTGGAACGGGAGTCGATGGTTGCGGGCCCGTAAGGATTAGCGCCCTAACCGCGCAGTTTTTGCGACGAAGCTGGAGTGATCTAGGTAGGTACGGACCTTACAATTTCCCCGTGGTATCCCTCCTACTAGTCGGGCTAATCCCGGGGTTTGCCTTTAAGTGGTCTGACACGTTCCGTTTCTTGAGCGCTCTCAACAGTACTGCTCGCGGTAGCTGGTCGAACACCTTCTCCAGTAAAAAAGAAAAGAAAGCAATAGTATATAAAACAATTATATAAGTAAATGGTTCGTTTCGCCTCTTAATCATACGAACCATGGTAACAATCATCCCCGAGGCTCTTCAGTGATTAGGGATGACCTTGTGTTGAGTGTCTAGTATGTTTGTCACACAGAAAGGAATTGTGTTCAGAGTTTAGAGATAGGTACAATGAGCAATCAAAGTAACTGATTAATTGGTATGTTACCCAAAAAGAAAAAGGAGTCTAGAAGAATTTGTCTAGATATGATACTCAGTATAGATGTGTCAACTAATTGTCAATAGAGCAAACAAACATAAGAATCCAAATGCAGCATACATAGAAGACAACCGAACCGTGGGTAATTTGAATGCAGTAATAATTGACAAGTGTTCCAAGAAAGCTAGTTAAGTATTAATTATAAATGCCTGCAATGTCCATAAATGTAAGTGTCGTATTTACTTAGTGGAGCATGCCTTCTGACAAATTTATTAATACAACTTATATTGTTAGTAATTGAAAACTTGTACCCGATGAATTTGTTTTTGTAAACGCATTTGATGATATTAACAATGATAAACTCTCTACTATATCCATTGCTAAGAACTGTATCTACCAGATTTGAAATTTTGCTTCTAAACAAATCTAATGTAGAGCAAGTGTGAGCTATTCTAAGTGCTTCTGTATAGATTACAGAAGCCTTATTCTTTGAGGATATATTAGAGGAGTCTTTATGTGGAAACCTAAGTACTCTAAAATTGAAATCGTCGGTTTTGTTATACAAATTAGTAATTATTCTGTTATTAATTATTTGGATATTCAGATCAAGATAGTGACTATTATAATCACTTTCATGTGTTTTCTTGAAAGCTAGTTTATTCTCATACACAGCTTTAAGAATATCATTTATTACTTCTTCTTCTTGATTATGTATAGTACTAGTAAATCGTCCATGTATCTAAACGGAATTAGCAGCTTATCCACGGCATATTTGATATTTTTAGCATAGTCGTATTCTAAAATAGTTAGAGTAAGATCAGCAAGCAATGCCCACAGAAAATTTACCGCATGTGTAGTACCCCTAATGTATGCCTATACGAATACATACGAGATTTCTGAGGCAGACCCCGCCCACTTTGGTGCATGGTTAGCCCAACAATGGCATTCAACCCTACTCCATACCTCAATACTTATGCACATTTTCCCCGGTCGCCGGAACTTCTAGGAACCGAGTTATGAGAGCGGTGGCAAACTCCGCCCACATCCGGGTGTGCCACGCCCAGCGTTCACATTCAACCTCTACTCCTACTTTCACCTCTGGCGTATTTTTTTCAGGTCTCTAAGTCATCTCGGAGCCGAATTATGAGGTCTTGTAAATGGCGTTATGAGTCACGAATTTCTGAGGCAGACCCCGCCCACTTTGGTGCATGGTTAGCCCAACAATGGCATTCAACCCTACTCCATACCTCAATACTTATGCACATTTTCCCCGGTCGCCGGAACTTCTAGGAACCGAGTTATGAGAGCGGTGGCAAACTCCGCCCACATCCGGGTGTGCCACGCCCAGCGTTCACATTCAACCTCTACTCCTCCTCTCACTACTATACACATTTTTTCAGGTCTCTAAGTCGTCTCGGAGCAGAATTATGAGGTCTTGTAGGGGACGAAATCGAGCTACGTATCTTTGTGGCAAACCCCGCCCACTTTGGTGCGTGGGTCGCCCACTGATATCAGTCGGCTATCATCTCTTCCCCAACCTTTTTCTACTTTTCTCCCATCTCTGGAACTTATTGGAACCGAGTTATGAAGTACCGTGGCAAACCCCGCCCACTTTGGTGCATGCTCCGCCCGCCAACAACGGTTGACCCCTTTCCCTCTGCCAACCCTCATACGCTTTTTTCCCGGACTCCGGGACTCCTAGGAACCGAGTTATAAGCCTAATTGCAAACTCCGCCCACTTTGATGTAAGCCACGCCCATCCCTGACATTTAGCTTCCCCTCCCCTCCTGACCTCTATCCGTTGTTTTCCGGTCTCTAAGTCATCTCGGAGCCGATTTATGAGCTCTTGTAGAAAATGCTGTCCGCTTCACGACACGCTCCGCCCATTGTGGGCGGGCCTCCGTTCACATCATGCGTGGTGGAAATACCTTAGGCATTGCTCCCTGCACTAATTTCGTTTCTGGTCTGTAGGCTTCCTCTTAACCGAGTTATGAATATTTTCACTGAGCACCCATTTTCTAGAGAACGCCCCGCCCACCGAGGGTGGGTCTCCTCAGTTCAATCTGGCTTACCAACCCACACCTATGCCCACTTTTGTCCCGGTCTCGAGGCTGTTTTGTGACTGAATTTGAAATCATGGTCCTCAGTACCACTCATTTCGACGCACGCGCCACTGTGGGCGGGGCTCCGCTTAATTAATGTATGTTTTTTACTTCTCAAGTGAGTTGGCATGGCCAATATATTCCCCTTAAGAGCGACTCATACTCTACCCATTCCAAACTTGACCCGCCCTCCCTAGGTGATTTTTGAAGGAAGAATTAAAAACATGTGGGGGACACTTGCGAATTTTTGGGGAGCGGTCAGACAAACAAACTCTGGTTTATATAATAGTATGATTATTATATTATTATACGAATTGACAAGTAACTGTTCTTAATAAGTCAATCCAGCTCGAATTTGTGAGATCGTGGTTGTATAAGATCGATAAGCCAGTTTTTAATTCTTTCCCATCTGACGATGAGTAACAAACATGGTACCCATTAGTAGCATTCCTAGTCTTGCAAGCATTTTTGAAACACATTTCAAGCAGCATTTGAGTAATTTTAAGAATGAGACTGTGTTCAAGATTGGTAAACATATCTGTAAAATCGGCAGTGTATAACTTTGAGATGATGGTTTTCGATATTACTTAGTTCTTGACTAATGTTGATGTTGGTAATAGACCAATAAGTCTTAATTGTTTTGTTTCTATGTTGTACTACATTGATATACTTAATGAAATGATTCTTGAGGTATTTGAATATACCATTTCCACTTGAAAATGGACATCGTTCAAATCAAAGTTGCTGTTTTTCAAAAAATCGTGGACATTTTTCAATTCGACCCGGAGATTTTTCAAATAGCTCAGGACGTTTTTCATTTCGACCCGGCTTTTTTTCAATGAACCGTGGACAGTTTTCAATTCAACTTGAATCTTTTTCAAATGACCGTAGACATTCTTCATTTCAAGATGGATTTTTTCATTTTCGGCGTAATTGTTTTGAACATCAAAACAACAATAAAAAAAACAATAATATCCGGGAAACCTTCTTGGTCAGAAAATACTACATTTTCGAGTGAAACAAATGGTCATTTCTCTACAACCGAACACAAGGGGAACAAAATCAACAAGTTCAATTAACGAAGGGCTGTCCAGCTGCCGCGGTCGTCAAATTTACCATCATGTGGAGGACGTAACTCGCACAATCCTGCTCCGTCACCGTTCCTACACTTTCCTGAATGACTCCGCTCAGCGTTTGCTCTGCCGTAGGATTGCTCAGCAGGCGCTTTGCCGACGCCTTCACCTGAACACGTTACCTCACCTCTATCCACTCCACCATCTACATAATAAGCTTTATTTTTTAATTGTAAGAAATAAAATAAGTAATACCTTTGAGAAGACATTCTCAGCCGGGTTCAGCATATAGGAGTATGGCGAGAGGAATTTCAGCTGATACGGTGTGTCATCCAAGAGTCGTCGCACCTCCTCCGTCTTATGAATCTTGGCGTTATCCATGATCAGCCATGCACCATTCATTTCCTCTCTGTCGTGGATCTCAGCCAGAAGCTCCTCGATAAAAGCACAGAACTTAGGGCTGTTGCAGGTTCCATCATTGATGATTTTCGAATGAACGATGCCTTGAGTATTCATGGCAATAATTAGCGTCACCATGCGGCCTCTCACGGTACAACGTTGGCGCGTTTTCCTCGTTTGGAGCGAGCTTGTGTCCTTCTTAGGTGAAGGTTAAATCCGGATTCATCGATGAAGATGCATTTTTCCTTGTCCTGCGGTGCATGTGCAGTAAAGTCGAGAGCATAGGCCTGACGGCTTGCAATCGTCGTGGTGCTGTTTACACGATCGAGCTCGTGATGGCTCTTCTTCAGTGTGATTTTCAATTTCAACAAGGCGTTGAAAATCGTAGACGGCTAGATTGATGTCGTCCTCCTTCAGTCGCCTTTGTATCTGCACCAGGGTATCCTCTGGATGTCGTTCAACGATTTCTTCAATGGTCTGTAGTACATCGGAGGTCAATTTGATCCTGCGGCTGCCTCCACAGGGACGGTGAACAATGGCGCCTTCCCGCCTGTACGCACTGACGATGTTCCTTGCTGTACTCGCATTGACACCAGCAAATTCAGCAGCCTCGCGGATTGATTTGCCGTCGACTTCCGTAAGCTTGATGATAATCTCCTTTTGCGCCAGTGTGGTTCTACGGCACCGTCGTGGCCTTACAGATGCGGCGTCTTCCTCGTTGCTCATGATTATGGAAGTCAATTGATCGGAGTATCGGATTACGAGCAACGTAGCTCTTTTTGAAAATCGAGCTTCGCGCGCGATTTTTGAAGGGGCATGCGTAGCACTTTATCGATTTACGGTCTTTTCTGCACCCTCGCGCAGAAATAGCATGTCTGCCCTCTTACGCCATCCCCTGATCACATTTGGCGCTTTCGTTCACCATTGTATGCGTATTGATCCCTTGAGACAGAAACATTGCAAGAACAAGGTCGCATAAGGGAAGGGATTCAAATACTCGGGACGATCCTAGAGAAGGTTCGATGAAGAAAAGAGGATCGCTGAAACAAACGTGTATGGGGCAGATTAGAGTTCCAATGAGAGATTTTCAGTTTTTGTTCCAGGATTTGAACATCTCAGCACATCCGTCAATTTTCAGTCAAATTTCAGCGAAAAATGTTATTTGACATTCTAGAAAATGTGTCCAGTTTGATCTGAAAAATCTCACCAATGTTTTGAAAAGTGTCCTAAATGAATGAAAAAAAGCCGGGTCGAAATGAAAAATGTCCACGGTCCAGTGAAAAAAAGCCGGGTCGAAATGAAAAATGTCCACAGGTCATTGAAAAAAAGCCGGGTCGAAATGAAAAAAGTCCTGAGTCAATTGAATAAGGTCCACTTTGGAGTGGAAATGGTATATATTGCGTAACTCTAAAGATAATGGTTTTATGCTACTATTACGAGCTCCCGTTATGAATCTGAATTTAATAGGATTTTTATGCAACTTAGGGAGTGCATAAAGGAGGGGAGCTTAGTATATGTAGGAATCTGAAACTTATTACGTACACAGAAGAATTTATGATTTAATATAATAGAATATTTATTGTTACAATTAATGCGTTCGTAGGTGTTATTGGTATTCTGTTGTGATATCGTATCAGAAGAGCTATTATAGCTTATCCCCATTTCCTCCATAATCACTTCTATATAGAGTATTTTTTGCATATAAATACCATAATTATTGACTAGCCTTATCCAAAGGACAAAAAATGAAACGTTTCTGATAATCTCTGATACTATTATAGGGCAACCGTTCCCCAGATCGCATTAAATTAGAGTTGGTGAGTAATGGTTTGATGTCGTTGTGATAACTAATGTGAAATTGCTTCCATAACTTATTACTAACAACGTTATTGATATTACATTTTCTCCTGAAAAAAGGTTATAACTTTTTTCAACTGTATTTAGATAAGTTTTTCTAACTTCACTTCTTGTTGTCCCGTAATCTATTCTATATTTAGTTCCCTTTTCAAGCACTTCTTTCAATTTACCATCCTTAATTATATTCAGATCTCCGGTGTTTCCATTATCCAGGTCTTTAAGTGTTTTGTTATAATTATATATTTCACTAGAAACTGTCCTGTCATATGTGTGAGTGATTCTAATGGGTACAAATTCTTTGAAGTTGCGAGTTGTTACTTATAATATCTCTTATGACGTTAGAATTGAAGGTTTTTTGGGAAAGGGATTTCACTTGTAAATTCTACTTTCGAAACCAACTGTTATATTGTGAAAGTCAGTTTTTGGCTTACCACTGTTCCAGTCATTGTATTGAAAGTGAGCTAGTATACAAAATACTAAATATTTAGTCTCATTCTTGACTGTCCCTAAGAAGTCTGTTGAAAGGGAAAGTTTAAGAATCTTATCTATCTCTTTTCTACTGAGGTTTTTGAATAACTGATAGTACTGTATAGGTTTGAGTACTCTTTCTTTATGAGCTATTTCTTCAATTACTTTGTCATAGGTCAATCTATCTGTATTATTTCTTTTCTTATTGGTATTCCCTCTATTATTTCTAACCTTGGTAATTTTTAGACTGAAAAAGGGGGGTTTTCCATTGAACATGAGAGGGTTATTGATACTAGAAATGTTACCGTATCCCTTGATGTTGTCATTGAGCCCAAATGGATAAGGTGTCATAAGAAGTTTAATCCAAAACAATTCTTTTTCTAATAACACTTTTTTATCATTAGATTTGATAGAGTCTAAAATGGTTACCGAAATACCTTTATCACATTTTCGGACGTGATTGTATAATAATGTTTGTTTTTTATTCGCGGCTATATTCAAAAGGTGCTCTCCAACTCTTGCTTTCAATTTCCTTATAGTCATACCTACATATTGTATTCCGCAACCTTTACAGGTTAAGCAGTACACAACATTAGCAGAGTTACAATCTGTATTCTTATCCTTATAGGTATTGATTCTAAGACCCGTAACGAATGAGTCTACGTAGTGTTCCAGGTTAGTAATGTTACAAGTTTTACACTCTTTCACACAAGAATGTCCCTTGTTAAGATTTCCAAAGTCATGAAGTATGTATTGATTAATACCAAACCTTACCTTATTGAACTTGGTTTTTGTATAATAGTTGGAAGCATGATTTTCATTTTTTTTGGTCCAAAATCTAAGTATGTGAGCGACCCAACCCACATACAGAGAGAGGTCTTCCCATTACAGGTTCGGCGGGGCTGCCGCCAGGGTGTGACTACCCTGTTTGTTCCAAAGGAACGACTAGTACTGGGGGCGCCAAAAATAGACCCCTCAAGTCATTTTTGACTTTTATAAACCTCTTCAGCACTAATCCCTATTATTATTAAGAGGTATGGCCCTCTTTGTAGTGTGTGAAAAAGTGGCTAGGGATTGTGTCATAATCCCCAAGAAATTGAACGAAAAGGTTGTGAAAAACGAAAGTTGTGAAAGACAAAACAAAAGGCA